CTCAGAAATGATGTCACTGGTTTATAGACATGCTCACATTGTGTCTAATTGTTTATTTTTATTTGTTCAGGATGATGAAAGTCAAAAGGACAGAGAGACCAGGGAGTACCTGGGTGAGGTGGGCTGTATCCCCCAGGACTTAGGAGGGAAGTGGTGGGATTGGGGTGGTGGCTGCAGGAAGAAAAGGAAGGCTATGGAAATTTCTAATTGAAAAGATGAGAGCTCTTTCTTCATTGACTAAAATTATTTCCTTTCCTAGATTTTACTTCAGCAGTGAACAAGAATTTCTGGGTGTTGTGCCTGCCCCTCTCAAGTTCTGTGATGGATACAAGGATGGCTAAGTTAGGGTCGTTCCTTCTTCAGGCCATTACTCAAGCAGAAGACTGAGATCATTTCATATGGAACCATGAGGCTGAGCTTGACATATCAATTGCTCTTTCTGTTATGACTTAGAAAAGCTTGAGCTCGGTGAGGGTTGAAATACCTGAAGTTTCCATGGAGGGAGTGAGTTTGAATCAAATAAGATGAGGTTTCAAAGCAAATATTAACCACAAATAACATTTCAAGTTAATTTTTTCTTTACCTGGCTTATTTTTCCTGGAGCTAAAATGATGATTTTCAATTTTCAGGATATTAATTACGACTAAATTGTGATGACAACAAAGATTTATAATTCGCACACTCCTCTGAATTTTTCCTGACTTTAATTCTAAAATTAACTTCTGTAAAGAGCCCTGTTGGAATGGAAATCTTTTCAGAAACGTTGCCTATCCATCCCTTAATATGAAAAGTATGAATTTTTATTAGTTTTGACTGAATTGCAGTTTATTTTTGCCTGAGACTAAACATAAGTTTCATAATCGTGTGTGCTACACCTTTTGCCAATGGGTGATGCATGCGTCACAGCACAGACTTAGTTTGAAGTGTAGACCTAGTTTCCCTGACAAAACAGGGTGTTTTTTGGGCAGATTTGGGATGGCGTCTTACTCCTCTGGCAATCCCACCTGTATGTCAGCCAAAGCACACTGGCTGTTGCCCCTCCTGAAAGGACAGGACTCTAGTCTTATATCCATAATTTTTTCCACACGGTAAGATATGGCCTTCACTTCTAAAGGACCTCAGGGATTCATAGGGGAATCAGACAGGAGAACAAATCAGTTAGGATTTAACACAGTGAACTGTAGAACAATGGGAATCCCAGCATGCTTTCCATGCACAATGGCAGAAGAAGCCAGTTATGACTGGGGAGAGTCAGGTTCAACTTTCCAGAGAGAGGACATTTGAGCTGGGACTTCACAGATGAGTTATAATGTGCCAGGTGAAGACCAGGGTAGGGGAGAGGGTGAAAGAAGGTATTCCTGTTAGAATACACAGAATGCCCAGGACTCAGCATTGCATGAGTGCCCAGAGCCCCTGGGGATGAGGAGGGGTCTAGGAAGGTGGGGGCGTGGGCCCTGAAAAGGAGGGTTTGAGTGGAAGAGACCTTGGCACAGCAGCAATTTGCGTCACTGCCTTCCTCCGTGTTGAAGATTTCTGGCTCATAGTTACTCAGCTCTAATACACAAGCTGAGCAGTGTGACAAATATTGTTTTATAAGGATTAACAAGGCTTAGAGCGAAGAAATGTGAGGAGTCAAAGTGCTCACTGGGGACTTTAAAGACCATCTTGTGTCATATAATCGTGTTTCTCTGAAGATTGGCTTTTGTCCGAACTTTGTGCTGCCAGAAGGCTCTCAATGGTTGCTCAAGTGACTGAATGTCTTATCTTTTGAAAAATAGGAATAACAAAGGATAGAATCATTGACAGAAAACCTCCAATAGATTGAAATTATTTATTATCTTGGGTGTTTTCATCGAATCTATCTTATTGAAGATTTTCAGGTTAACCCACTACCGTCGAGTTGATTCCAACTCATATCAACCCTTTAAGGTTAAGGGACTTAAGTATTTAGCCTGGAATTTGCTTTTTAGCCTTATTTGGAAAAAGTGGTAATTTGTGTGGTTATATATTAGTTATATTTTATTATCCAGGGTAGATTGATTAGTTTTTCCTATAAACCCAGTAAAGATTATCCTTGAGTGTTCTTACTTTATGTCCAATGAAGTTTTTTTTTTTTTTGACTGTCAGACATCTTTGAACACTGACCATGGTTGTATTTCCCATTACAGTTGAAAACCTTTTTTTGTTGTTGTTGTTGCATACTTCCCACCGATCAGCCCCACAGGAACTTGTAAATATGTGAGTGCTTGCTTTGCAGATAAACACTTTGAAGCAGAAAAGGCATGTCTGCATTTTACTCCTTTTGAGCCCATGCTACCTGGGAATCAGTGGGAAAATAGACAGAGACTTCCGGGAGAAGAGGCCTGTATCAGTCAGGGTTCTCTGGAGAAACAGAACCTACGTATATGTGTGTGTTTGTGTGTGTGTGTGCATGCTTATGTGTATACACATACACACATACACATATACACATGTATATGTATACATGATACATATATATGTACACACATATATACATATGTGTATATATATGGAGAGAGATTGATTAATTGATTATTGATTTTAAGGAAATTGTTTCAAGTGATTGTGGGATCTGACAAGTCTGAAATCTGTAGGGCGGGCCAGCAGGCTGGAAACTCAGGCAGGATTTTTACATTACAGACTTGAGGCAGAATTCCTTCTGCTCCCAGAAACCTCAATTTTTACTCTAAGGCCTTCAACTGATTGGATGAGGTTCACCTATGTTATCGAGGGTAATATCTTTTACTTCGGGTCAACTGATTGTAGATGTTAATCATATGGACAAAATACCTTCATAGCAACGTTTACACTAGTGTTTGCCCAAACAGCTGGGCACTATAGCCTAGCCAAGTTGACACATAAAATTAACCACTGTTGTCGTTGTGTGCCGTCGAATCGATTCCAACTCATAGTGACCCCATGTGACAGAGTAGAACTGCCTCATAGGGTTTTCTAGGCTGTAATCTTTCCAGAGCAGATTGCCACCAGGTGCAGAAGAATTACCAGTTGGTTGTTAAATTAGTTTGATCTTTTATATTATCATGCATCCTGGATTTGTTCAGGATGATGAAAGTCAAAAGGACAGAGAGACCAGGGAGTACCTGGCTGAGGTGGGCTGTATCCCCCGGGACTCAGGAAGGAAGTGGTGGGATTGGGGTGGTGGCTGCAGGAAGAAAAGGAAGACAAAGATCTGAAAGGCACTTTAGAAACATGTCCAGCAGAATTTTGTTGATGCATGGGGTATGAAGGGCAGAAGCTAAAAAGGAATTAAAAAACACCCATTCTAAGATGCTTTACCTGGCTCAGATACATAAGTACGGGGCGTGTTCTGTTTCTGCTTTCTTCCACATCTTTTCCTTCTTTTTTATCCCTATTTCTTAAGACATTGAAAAAGAACTGAAGGAAAATTGCAGCAAGAATAATTTCATTGACTAAATAATGAGCCATTGGGTGTGGCAGTACCTTGTACAATATGAGCTAAGTAATGAGCGGAGAGCAAGTTAAGTAAATGCCATTCGGTGACTCTTTGCTTTATGCTTATTTTTCTTGAGGTCTCCGGAAAGGGTGGGCATAGCATTATATGCCTTCTTCCCCAGAATAGAATATAGCTTCCTCTCCAAAAGAGCGGGAGCTGGAGAGAGACTGATCCATTCATCCATCTTGGCACCTCATTTTTATACCAGCAGCAAGCTTACCTTTCAACTAGCATTGGAGCTTTAAAAATTTTTTAGTAAAATTATAAGATAATACATAAACCAAATCCACTGCCATCGAGGTGATTCCTACTCATAGCAACCCTATAGGACAGAGTAGAACTGCCCCATAGGGTTTCCCAGGCTGTTATCTTTACGGAAGCAGACTGCCACAGCTTTCTCCTGTTGAGCGGCTGGTGGGTTGGAACCACTGACCTTTCGGTTCACAGCTGAGCGCTTAACCACTGTGCCACCAGCGACCCTATACCCATTAAAAAATTCCAACAATATAGAAATACATAGATAACGAAAGGGTGAGCAATTTGATTTTCTTCTCACCTCCATTTCAGGAGGAATAATTTGGTATGTTTTCCATGCCTTCTGGTGTATACATGCACACAAATACACATAAACCTTTTTTTTTTTTTTTTTGCATAAATGGGAAACTTGTTTTTTTAAATGCGTGTTTTTTTGTTAAACGGGTGCTGAGCACCATAGAATGTTGTGTATTGCTGTGTCCAGTCTGAGCTCACTCTCAATTCAGCAAATACAGGCTCTGGATTTGGATTGCTGGCAAGTTCAAATCCCCCCCTTACAAGCCTTGTGGTCTTAAACTCTTTGCCTCAGTTTCCTCACCTGTAAAATGGCAGAATAAGGGTATTTGTCTCATAGCGTTATTGTAAGGATTAAATTAGACAGAAAGCACAGAGCAGAGGTTCTGGAACGCAAGATGTACACAGTGCACGTCGGCTTTAGTATAGGGTGCGTCTGGTAAGCTGATTTGGTCTTCGAAGACGAAGGCTGAGTGTCGAGCATCTCCCTGTCTCTCCTGCAGTGCTCCGAAGTAGAACTGGGACTCATTAAAATACCTCCCTCCAAACCTTCACCTTGAGGATTCTGCTTATCGTTTTATTAAGTCCGTCTGGCTATTTTCTGTTTCTTTTCGAGCCTTAGAAAGCATTTGTCACTGATGATGTTTATCTTTCAGGCTTTGAACTTCCTGTTTTCCAGGCTTTGGGATATGTGGTCAGAGGAAGTCCAGATAAAAGACTTGATGGTAGGACCCACGAGCTAGAGCAGAGCTTGTTATTTTCTCATGATGTGTGTCTATATGACAATCTAAAGTCAAGAGTGGGCATGTGCATGCCTGTGTGTGTGCGTACACATGCACACACACACCCTTCTCCTCCTCACTGTTTCAGGCCGTTCAAACACTTTGCTTTCAAAGGCCATAGGACCCAAAGATTCCTTAAATAAGTCACGCCTTTTGCATTTGTTTCTCCGCAGGAGTACACTGTGAGCTGTACAAGGATCCCTGTGCAAACGTCAGTTGTCTAAATGGAGGCACGTGTGACGGCGAAGCTCTCAATGGCACATGTGTGTGCACGCCAGGGTTTGCAGGCAAGTGACGGATGGACTGAGTTTCTACTTTGCTACAAGATCCCCGAGATCGCAGATGGGAGCAAAAATAACCAACCTCTGTGCATAAATTATTGCAAAATCCAAATACCGTTGCAAAACGCAACGAGGCATTGCTTGGCTGAAAATCCATCTTAAAACAATTGGCTGTGTTTTCATTAAATTAGACTTTTCCAAAGTCAGCGTTTGGTACTTAGACTTGCAGGGACAAACATTTCCAGAGCTGAAGCTTTGGAGTCTGATAAAGGAGCCATTGTGCTAACACCTGAAGAAGTGTAAGTGTTAACGGAAGCAAGAAGAGGAAGGGAAAGATCAAATGTGTTTCTATAGAAATCACATCCAGCTACCACATTTATTTTCTTGAAAGACATACAGGTGACAGGATTTTGAAAAATGAGGCTTGGTGGTGGTGGGAAGTGAGGAGGAGATACTCTAGGTACAGAGTTTATTGTTAGTGAAGGTACGGATGCTGTGTTGTTGTTAGTTGTCATCAAGTTGGCGCTAAGTCATGACCACCTTATGTACAACAGAACGAAACATTGCCTGGTCCCGTGCGCCAGTCCATTGTTGCAGCCGCTGTGGATTTTGAGTGCCTTCCAACCTAGGGGCTCATCTTCCAGCACTATTTCAGACAGTCAGTATTCTGCTGTGACCCGCAGAGTTTTTCAGTGGCTAAGTTTTAGAAGTAGATCACCGGGCCTTTCTTGGTGTGTCTTAGTCTGCAAACTCCGGTGAAACCTGTCCGCTGTGGGTGACCCTGCTGGTATTTGAAATACCAGGGGCATAACTTCCAGCATCTTAGCAACATGCAAGGCACCACAGTACAACAAACTGGCAGAGAGGTAGTGGGCAGATGGTGTGGATGTGGGGAGTGGAGAGTGAGAGGGCTGACAACTGCCCCAGAGCAAAGCAGACTAGGAGGGCAGGGGCTGAGCTCAGCCAATGTCCTGTTTAGATAGCCTTGGTGGCCAGCCAGAATGCAGAGAGAAGAGTTACTTCTAGGCTAGGGAATCCATTCTGTGCAAGCTTTACCTGGCTCCTCCTTCTCAGTCACCCCTTATGGGATTCAGGGAGTTTGTGAATCCCTGAAAATAGATGTGTAAGATTGTATCATGTGTATATGCTGAGAGCAGACTCTAAAACTTTCATGAGATTCTCTAAAGGCTCTATGAACCACTGGGGTAGAAAATGTTCCATCTTTTGTTTTTCAACAGAACCCCAGTTAAAAAAACCAGTTGCCAGTGAGTCATTCCTGACTCCTGATGACCCCATGTGTGTCAGAATAAAACTGTACTTCAGAGGGTTCTCAATGGCTGATTTTTCAGAAGTAGATCACCAGGTCTTTCCTCTGAGGCATGACTGGGTGGACTTGAACCTCCAACCTTTTGATTTAGCAACTGAGTGCGTTAACCATTTGCACCACCAGGACTCCCAACAGAACCCAGGAGTCCTGAATTTAAGAGCATAGGACAAGGTCTATGTTTTCTGAGCTTTCCTCAACCAACCAAATCATGAGGATCACTCTGGCTTGCATGTTGACAAAGGCTGGCACAGAAGGTATCCACAGAAGAGGTGGGCACTGACCCCACAGGAAAACACATGTGACCATTGGCTGGAGGGCACACTCCTGAACTCCCCATTGCCTGCTGAGCCACTGCAGGTACCTCAGCTTCGCACCCCACCCTGGAGAATGTCCCCATCCCTCGGGAGCCCCATTTGTGTCCCTGGGGAGGCTGCCAACAGTCAAGATGTAGGAGAAGCAGCTTCTTCCTTCTCAAAGGTCCCTTCCCTTTGTCCTGTTTATCCATGTCACCCCCTGTCATTCAGGTTGCTTGGGACTAAGAAGTGAACTCAGTCCAGAAAATGATTTCCAGATGGTTTTGTTTTGCTGAATGGCTTATAAATACACGCACAGATATTTATACTCATCAATGAATGCAAAACAATGTTGGGAAAGCATCTTGTTTTTTTTCCAGACATTTTTATCCCACAGGTAATAAAAGGCAGGGAAGAAAAGTTAGAAGACATAGAACAAGGAGGGAAAAAACCCACTATGTAAAACTGCACTCCTCAGAAATAACCGTTGTTAACATTTTGTTGCATATACCTAGGGATTTTCCTGTAGGTCTCTGTGTGTATATTATATACCAAACAAACAAACAAACAAACAAACAAAAAAACTCTATTGCCATCGAGTTGATTCTGACTCAGTGACCCTATAGGACAGAATAGAGCTGCCCCATAGGGTTTCCAATGCTGTAAATCTCTACGGAAGCAGACTTCACGTCTTACTCCCACAGAACCGCTGGTGGTTTTGAACCACTGACCTTTTGGTTAGCAGTCCAGTGCTTTAACTGCTGAACCACCTGGCCATATAGTATGTAGAGTATATTATACATATATATATAATATACTTGAATAAAACAGTAATCGTACTACACATACTGCTTTTAACCTACTTTTTTATCTATGTCATTCCACATCAAGAAACATGTGTCTTTCTTATCATTTTTACTGGCTACTCTGCAGTCCATTCTATGAAATATCATGATTTCTTTCAACCATTCTCAATTCAGCTTTTGGGGCATTCAGAACTTTTGCTTATTATAAACAACTTTGCAACTACTATTCTTTTTTTGTTTGTTCGCAATTACTCTTCTTGTATGGACATCTTTGAGTACTTGTCAGATTATTTCCTTGGGATAATTTCCCAGAAGTGGAATCCCAAGGTCCAGGAGGGTACATACATATTATCATATTCATCTCTGGCAAAGAAATTTCACCAATATTCAGCCTACCAAGAGTGCACAGGAGTGTCTCCTTATCTTGTTACAAGCAATGAAAATGATCCTTCTGGCGGCCCCAAATTCCATTTTACTTATTGTTTTAATTTGCAGGTCTTTGATTACTAGTGAGGTTGAATACTTTTTAAATAAATCTATTTATGGTCATTTGTGTTTCTTCTTTTATGAAGTGCCAACTCATATCTTTTGTCTATGTTTCCATTAGATTGTTCACATTAATCTTTATTCTTCTTGATTTGAAATAGCCCTTTATGTTAAATATATTACACTTTTGTCTACCATAGGTTGCAGGTGTCTTTCCACTACCGTTTTCTTTTCCAATGGGTTTCAATGTTTTGTTTTGTTTTCCCCACCCATTTTAATTTTATACCATCAAATATTCAGCTTTTCCATTGCTTCTTTCCCTGTTGTTTTATGCTAGAAAGTGATCCTGTATTTCAAGATTATATATTCGCCTTTATTTTTCTAATAATGGCTGGTTTCATTTTGTACGCTTAAATCTTTCATTCTTTTTAAATGTATTTTGATATATTATGGGAGGAGGAAATGCAATCTTCTCTCCAGAATATTTAGCAGATCTTCAACTGCCTATTCAGCATCTTCTCTTGGATGTCTCAAAGACACCTCAAACTCATAGAGTTTCTCCTCCTTTCCTTCTTTTAATATTTGCTAACTCATTAAGTTGTATTATTATTTTCACCCCAAAAGAGCTCTGGTGCTGCAGAAGTTAAGTGCTCAGCTGCTAACGGAAAGGTTGGTTGGCAGTTCCAACCCACCCAGCAGCTCCATGGGAGAAAGACCTGGCCATCTGCTTCCATAAAGATTACAGCCTAGGAAACTCTATGGAGCAGTTCTACTCTGTCACATGGGGTCTCTGTGAGATGGAACCAACTCGATGGCCCCCAACAACGATAACTATCACCCCAAGTTGTTCTGGCTGGAAACTGGGAATCATTTTGATGCCTTCCTCTTCTTCACCGTTACCTGCACTCAGCCACTGAGTTCTCCTAAACAACGCTGAGCATCTCTCAGCTCTTTCCAGAGCCAGCACCAGCCTGCCTTCACCTCCTGCCTGCCCCAGTGTAAGATCTTCTCATTGGATCTTCACACCTATTCCTCCTTGTTCCTAATCCATTCTCCACATAGCAGAGACCTTATAAAATGGAAATCTAATCTTGTCACTCCCTGCTTAAAATCTCCTATTGACGTTCCATTGTCCTTAAGAAACATATCAAAACCCTTAACTTGGACTTGAAGACCCAGGCAGTCTTGCCCCATGCAGCATCTCCAGCCTCATCCTGGGCCCCTCTGCCTGTTTGATTCCCTGCACACACTGTCGCAGGCTCTTCTTGCAAGGTTCATTCCCTCCATCTCCTGCCAGTATCCCCCACCCCCACCTCCCAGCCTCCCCTGCTCCCAGGTAAGTTAAGTCCACCCCTGTGCATTTCTTTTCAGCACTCATCCCTGATTACCTGGAGCGGTATGCCTCTTTCACTGCAGTAGGTTCAAATGTCACCCTTACTGATCTTTGAAACTCTAGTCAATCCTGGTAATTTTTCAGACTGCAGAGAATCACAGAATATTCTCTGAGGATGTTGGGAGAGTTGTGCTGTTGATGTGTTTTACAGAACGCTTATCTCACGAGATGCTCCAAGGGAAGAGGATTCTGTGACCAAATAAATTTGGGACACGGTACCCGCCACATGGAGATCCATAAAGGATGTCAGCATGTTGAAGACTCTGACAGGTCTTACAGTGAAGGATCTTATTTGTCTTTGCTTATTTCCCAAATATATTTGATTATGGAACTTTTTTTCCCCTTTTTCTTCCCCTTAAAAAATACCTTTTTGTATCCTGAGAACTAGTGTTCCATGGGAGAGGCTGATAAAATATTAACTATCTCCATGCAAGGAATAAAGGGTGTCTCTACCCATCACCTTCTACATTCAAATAATGTTTTTACTTCCCGCACCATTATCGTGAGAACCTTACAACAGCGTCCTTCCCTCCCCGCTCCAGGTGTCTTTGGCGTTATTTTCATATGTTTTATTTCTGCATACGGTATAATCTCCAAATTCATTGTTATTATTTGTAACTTAAACAATTAATTAGCGTATATATGTGAGATCTCTCTCACACACACACGTATATATATATATATATATAGAGAGAGAGAGA